TCCAAATGCGATTGCCGTTGCCGTTGCACTCGGTGTCCCCGGGGAGCCAAAGGCGCACGATGTGAGCACAAACAATTGCAAAATGGATCCGAAACTGTGCAGATGTGAAGCGAGCGCAGCGAGTGGAGTTAATTAGTTGGCCAATGCTGTACGAATGGGCTTTTAGACTAATGAGCGCACCGAGGGACAGGGCAGTGGCAATCGATCGACAGGGGGAGAGAGAGAGAGAGCAGTCTGAGTGGAAGGCAACAGAGAGAGAGAGAGAGAGTGGAAGGAGAGAGTGAAAGAGAATGGATGCATATGGTCGAATGAATCAAGATGCAAAGAGAACTATGAACTCATAGAGAAATCTCATTAAGTTCCGAGCGGAGAAAGGTGAGAGAACTGCAAGCTGACAATGACGAGCAATAGGAGTCAGAAAAAGGAGTATGGGATGGAATGGAGAGAAAGAGAAGTGAAAGAATACAAAAATAGATAGATAAATAGAATATATGGGCAGACAAAGCAATCAATAAAGCTACAAAGATATAGTAAAAGAGAGAGAGGGAGACATAGAGAAAGATGAAGAGAGAGATAGAAAAAGAGAAAAATATAGAGAAAGAGAAAAAGAGTGATAAAAGGAGATAAAGAGAGGATGGGAGAGAGATATAGAGAGAGAAAGAGTGTGAGGGAGAGTGCGAGAAAAAGACAAAGATATGTCTGAAAGAGAGACAGAGAAGAAAAGACAAACCCAATAAAAGGGACAGAAGAGAAATGAGAGAAAAAGCTGAGTGACAGAGACTGTGACAGATAGTAAAATAGTTGGAAAGAAAGTGAGGTAGAAAGAAAGAAGCTGAAAGTAGAATATAAGAGAAAACAAGTAAGAAAGCTCTAGTCGAGACTGCTCGACTAGGAGATACCCTGAACCCTCTAATCTGATATTCTAATCATTCTGCACTTCTTTTATGCACACATACATACAGATGCATCCACACTCACGCATAAGCCTGCGCTCTGCTAACTGCGCAGTAAGCAGCGACTGCGCTTGGGCTGCGCTGCAGTGTGGGCAATATTATGAGAATTTATTTGTCGAATAATTTCTTTTGTAAACATATGATCTTAATGAAACTTTCAGAGTGTAATCATATGGTAAATATGTGTGTACATTCCAAAGCACAAGTCTCTAGTACTTGAAATGCGTTTTTTACAAATTGGGGGAGAAGGGGGCGTGGTATCCAAAATCTGTAAATTACAAAATCTTTGTATCGATTAACTTTATATACAACACAAATTTGAAGACTCCAGGTCTAAAAATGTTCAAATTAGGCTAAAAAAACAAAATCAATTTTTCGATTATTCTCGATAAAAAAGTTATCGGACGATTTATCGAAAAAATAAAGCAAACTCGTACTGCGTATGGTACACACGAGTATGCATGCCAAATTTCAGCTCTCTAGCTCTTATAACTTCTGAGATCGACGCACTCATACGGACGGACGGACGGACGGACGGACGGACGGACGGACGGACGGA